TTCAAGACCTTCTCCAACAGTATCCCACCACCAAGTGCCTGATTGGCAACTCGTACAAACACTTTATTATGGCTTAACTGAGTCACACCGCCAAATGGTGGACTCATCCTATGGCGGGACATTCATGTCCAAAAATGATGCCGAGGCATGGAAATTGTTTGAGAACCTAAGTGATAATTCCCTTCACCGCAGCCTGGTAAGTCCGGCAACCAGTAGTTGGAGCCCTGAAAAGAGGGGGCATTTATGAGGTAGGGCAAAACCTAGAGTTAGCCCAACAAGTAGAGGCACTGTCCCACAAAATGGACCAATTATTAGCTGCGGGACATGCCCCTACCTAGCAAGATCAGCCTCAATTTCACGAGGCATGTGTTATTTGTGTAAGCCCTGCTCATGACTTGAGTGGGTGCCCTTCGGCATCATAATTTCTGGAGTTAGTCCAAGAGCATGTGAATGCGGCTCAAGGATTCGCTAACCCGGGTAATGATCCTTACTCCAATACATACAATCCGGGATGGAGAAATCACCCTAATTTTTCATGGAGACCCTCTTCACAAGGCACTTCTTAATAGGATTGATTTCAACAACCAAATCGACATTGCACTATCAGTTCAACTTGAAAGAGAGAGGGAGAGAGGAGCTCACCGATCTGAATCGCTGAGATGAACTTCGATTTTGATTTCGAGAGAGAACTTCGAAATGGTTAAATCACGGATCTGCAATTATCTGAACTTCTATTTCGAGAGTGAACTTCGAACTTTGAAATGATCTGAACTTCGATTTCGAGAGAGAACTTCGAACTTTGAAATGATCTGAATCACTGATCTATTTCCCTGAGACCGATATGAATCTATGAATCTATTTAGGGTTTAGACAACAGAGAGGGAGAGAGAGAGAATAAGAGTGGAGCTCACCAATCTAAATCGATTTTGAGATAAACTTCGATTTTGATATAGTGGAGTTCGAAATGGCTCTGAGATATTAATGGGGTTTAGACAGCAGAGAGAGAGAGGAGAGAGAGACATTTAGAGATTCAAAATAAGGGTAAAAAGATGGAGTGAGGGAGGGAGTGAGAGATAATCCATTTGAAGGCGTTTATAAACGTCTTCTATTCATGAAACGACGCCATTTTACTTAAAGAAAAATGCGACGTTTATAAAATGTCGTTAAATATTAGAAACAGTGGCGTTTTAAAAAATGTCGTTAAAAATACGCTACTACAACCCATATTTCCTGTAGTGCAATGACCAGGCACCATGAAGACAATGCTGCTAGATCATTAATAGCGCTAGAAATGGGGTGGGTAGTGTTGTACAAGTCAGGATTAGAGGATGTAATCACTCGGAATCTGTAACACCGCCATAGAAGATTCAAATGTGCTTTGCACGTATGAAAAGAATTTTACAAAATGAGATACAAAAGTGAGCTAAAATGTTTGTATTTATAAATACGAACGTTTTATTTCACATTTGTATATTTTGTACTTTCTGTACATGTAAAAAAAATTTCAAGAGATTATACCTAATGTAAAAACCCAAAAAGAAAAAAAAATTGAAAAATGATGGGTTGACCTCTTAACTTTCAAAGTCAAAGGATTCATGATTAGTACTGTAAAGAATTGTTTGGGAATTAAGAGAATGATTGGTATACATGCTACATGCTACCCCACTTCTCTCCTTGGTTTTTTTTTTTATTAGCAAAAAAAAAAAAAACTTTATTGATAACAAAATCATACAATTACATATGAGATGTACATTTATAAAGGAGTGGAGGAGCAGAGCGCATCATAGCTAACTAACACAATCCCAACCAGGTTGACACCGAGTAGAGAGCTCAATCATCTGCAAGCTCAACTACAAAGGGATGGTAAAAAACTAGGACTAGCAAGAAAAGAAAACCCCCCAGAAAATCAACCCCAATTTACCAAGAAAATCAACCCCAGCAACAGCCTTACACCACACAATTCAGTCCTTTATACATAATCCAACCTATTGCAAGTGATACACAATATCATTTACTGAGTAACTAAAAGAGGGGTTAGAATTTCTGACCCAAAATGCAACCCTGAGTTTAATAGAATCACACAACCTTCAAAGTCCACCGGGGAGCCCTTAAAGATGCTTTCATTCCTCTGCCTCCAAATAGACCAGAGCATCGCCAATGGTATGACCTTCCATATGGCCAACTCCTTTTTTTTAGTTTAAACCCAGCCCACCACTATAATAGACCAGAAACTGATTCAGGCATTGCCCACAAAACAACCCACCACTTGATAATATTGGACCGAATACTCAAAATAAATGGGCATAATAGCAGCAGATGATTTACATCTTCCACTTCAGTGTTGTAGAAAATACAATTTACATCTGAATCATCAGTAAGGACACAAATTCTTAGAAGATAACTGGTTGTCTTGATCCTCGACTTCCATTCTAACCATCCAAAAAACTGCACCACATTCTTCCATACGAACCTTGTTAAGTTACTAATAGATTCAGAAGATAATTCACTCTACTTATAGGTAGAAGCAACATTAAACACACCAGACTTATCTGCAGTCCATTTCAATCTGTCCACCATTCCTTCCCTAAGAATAAGTGCATTAAGAAGCAGTACTCTTAGTCTCCTCAATTCTTCTAATTCCCACTGAAACAAGGCTCGCCTGAAAACTAGCTCCCACTCTTTATTCCCATTTCTCCTACTGTTGACCACGTGCACTGATTCAGCTTTGTCAAGGGACACAAAATATAGTCTTGGAAATTCATCTTTTAGACATACATTGCCAACCTAATTGTGAAGCCAAAACTTTGCTTTCCTCTCATCACCAATAATAAGGGATATGTTATTTTTTGAAAAATTCCACCAACTGAGGACAAGATCCAGCAATCCCCAATATATCTCTCCGGACCATAGATACTTTTGTACCTTCAACAGGTAGTGGCCACCAACCCCCTCCAACCTCTCTATATTTGCTGCAAATCACTTGTTTCTAGAGAGCATTATTTTCAATCCCAAATCTCCACCAGCACTTCAAAAGAAGACAATCATTCATGTGCCTCACTTTCCTTATTGCTAAACCCCCATTACTTATACTTTGTGTTATTTCCCCCATTTGACTAGATGAATTTTTCTTCTTAGTGCATCACCTCCCCATAAAATCTGGACTGAATTTTATCAATCTCCTTTGCAACCCCTTCAAGCTTCTTGAACAAAGATAGGTAATAGATAGGAAGGATGATAACACCGACTTTATCATTGTCATCCTACCAGCAAAAGATAAGAACCTCATTTTCCAAGAAGCCAACTTCTGTTTAAATTTATCAATTATTGGTTTCCAAGTCCTTCTTCTCTTGGATTATCTCCCAAGGGCATACCCAAATATTCCAATGGAAAACTTTGATGTAAACAGTTCAAACTGGCAGCAAATTCTTTAGATAGCTCATCATTAATCCCAATCCCACTAACCACATTCTTATGATAATTGATCCTCAGCACAGACAATATTTCAAAACACCTCAAGATCCTTTTAACAGTAAATACCTCATCTCTTTCTGCTTCACAAAATAATATTGTGTCATCTGCAAACTGCCACTACAACAAGTTGGGTCTTGAATGACGAATTTGTTTTGTCTCCAAAGAGCTAATTTCGTCACTATAGATATTTGTGAGGAAATATTTTCGTCACCGGTTTCGTCATTGAATGTTTGTCACTAAAAACCACTGTGACGAAAAATAATTTCGTCACCAATGAAATTACTTCAGTGACGAAATTTTTTGTCACCAATAAAACAATATTTTGTTGCTAAAAATTCTCATTTTCGTCACCAAATAGTTATTCAGTACCATATTTATAACTTTCGTTGACGAATAAATTTGTCACACATGTGGATTATTGATGAGGAAATAATTTCGTCACTGTAACATGTAAAGGTGACGAAATTTTTCGTCACACATGTTGATCATTGATGAGGAAATAATTTCGTCATAATAAGATGTAATATTTCGTCACAAATATATATATATATATACGTGACGAAATTTTTAGTCACCAAACAACAAAATCAATAAAAACTTTCATATATAGGCTGCAATAAATTTTGTCACAAAAATTGTTTATTAGCGACAAATAATCACTTTGTCATAATAACAAGCACAAATGACGAAACAAATTTGTCACTAAACTTGTTCCATATTTTATATTTCAATTTAAATTATTATTTCACAAATATCCCAGCTCATATCCCAATAGCCTTTTAAATATACCAAGAAATCCACTAGCTATTACACACCACTGCACAAAAAAATTCAGTAAACAATTTATATTATAAATGAAAATATATCAATCAAACAAATTTAATAATAATCCATTAAGTATAATAAAAAAAAAACCATCATTTCAAATTTCAAAATGAACTAATGTGAAGTCCACAAAAAAATAAAAATAAATAAATAACACTTGACTAGGTTTAAAACTAGAACTATGTATCAGTTCAGGAAAAAAAATTCAACAATTGATCTTGATTTGCAAGTATGCTTCCAAACGTCGTCAAAAACCAATCTGCAAAGAAAATAAACAAGGAAAACATTAATATATTATGAATTACATCTAAACTCATATATAAATAATTTTATTTTATAAACCAATTTAGTAGAAATGCATATAATAATCCAAAACTTTAAAGAGTTGAGGTGATCCTTGATGATAAAGCAATACGGATAACAGAAGATGTCAAAAGATTACAAGAATACCATATATTACTATCACTAATGCCATAATATATTTAATAGTTCAAAAATATAATGTAGCATTGAGATACATGTGATTCGCGACAATGGGTCGATGACTTCTTCAATGAGGTAAATTTGATCAATGGAATTAAACACAAGAATCTTGTAAGATTTTTGGGTTGTACCATTGAAGGTCCAGACCGCCTTCTTGTTTATGAATTTGTACCTAACAAACAAAATGCAAGTTATTTGCTAATCTCTAAATCACGTAAGCTCTGGCTAAGCTTCATGTTCCCATTTTATTATTCCCCAAACTCAAGAAGTACAACTATATATATAACAACACCAAACATATAGAGAGATGGAGAAAAGGATAAAAACATACCTGAAAATAGTTCTCTAGAAAAACCCAAATGGTCTTTGTCACTTGCCATTGCAACCACAAGAACCAATTTTGCCTTCGGAAATGCCATCTGAATTGTATCAGCTAAAGCTTTGGCAAATTCCTTGGTATGTGCTGGAAAACATAAATCATATAAGCTATAGCTCTTAAATTTCGTTTATAAAAGATTGAGGTTGTGTTTGGATCTTTGATATTAGCCTCTAACCAACCCTTACAAATTTCGTTTATAAAAGATTGAGACCGTGCTTTTGGATCTTTGATTTGAGGAGGGATTTGTGAAGGGAAAAAAAAAAAGGCAGGGAAAAGTGGAAAAAAAATAATCTTATATTCCTTTTTTTTTTGTTCTATAAATTCCTCTGCAAATCCAAGATCCAAACATATCCTGAAAGACAAAAAAAATTTATATGGGCGCATCCCCTTGATGCTCGTTCATACCATTATTTTACTTGACAAAAAAGAGAGTCAAAAAAGAATGCAACTTGACAAATTTTTCATGAGTAGCATGCACAGTACACAAAATTTAGGTACACCACATAGACATCTCCATAAGGGGGAATCAAACCAAATCTAAAGAATACATAGAAGAAAAAAAATAAAAATGAAAGCTAAGTTTCCAATCAATAGATGTGTATGCTTTTAGTGACAAGCACAAGATGTAGGTTCAGCTTATAATAAAGGCACTAACAAGAAGGAAGACATCTGAATCAAACCTCCGTCAATTAATATAGTTGCTTCAAACAGTCCTAGTGTCTCGGCTTCCTTTGATGTTAAAAACTGACTTCTCCCAAGCAAATATGTTTGCTCTAAACCAGAGCAAATGGATACATCTGAAATTGTCCAACCTGAAATTCCCAATAAATCATCCAAAAGGTTAATCAAACTCAACAATGTTTTATTCCAAGTCAATTGAGGTTGGCTACAAGAAATCTTTTTTGCCATTTTCCATATCGTACTAATGCCATGCGAAGGTAAAGATCATTCTCAAGAATTGAAACCAGATTCAAGACATGGGCAACAAAGTCATCAAAACAGTAGTAACTTGGATGAGTGCATGAGTTATAACTTATAGGTAGGCAAGAAGTGCATGGCACAAAGTGAAATAATTAGACAAACAAATATGCTTAGTAACAAGCAAGCAGGTGGACAAGTGTAGCTTACAAGAAATATTACAACTTGAAATTATTGAAGAATGTGATATGATTCGCGTTGCATGGACATGGACACAAATCACATATTTGACACAAGTTGGATATAGCAAAATTTTGTGGTAATATATATAGCAGTTTTACAAGTTGGATGCAACAAAATTTTGTGGTAGTATATATAGCAGTTTTGTTCTAATGTTCTAGGGAAAATGGAAATAGAAACATAAGGTCCGCGCCTTGATCACAAAGGCAGAGAGACGCACAAGTGGCAGTTGCAGCATTTTGGAGTTGGTGAGATCCAAGCATTGAGGGTTTTACATCAAACAACTCAATGACCTTCATAATTTGATATAAAGTTCATAGTTCATATAACAACCAAATATGTCAATGAACATTAGACATATAAGAAAGCAAAACATTAAACTACTTCATGAAGTCCAAGAAATTGTGTACCTGTTGAAAGTCTTCAATTTGAATCACATAGAACATGCTTTATCACGAAGAATATGCACAATATGTGGAAGAAATGGCCCACCTAGCACCACCTGAAAAGATTAACCAATAAGAAGAGCCAAGTTTGAGCACCAAGCAACAAAAAATGGGAATATGAGTCCAGTACAGACATAAGATGAAGGCCAGCTGAAAAGTGTCTGCTTCAGGCATTGGTTTCCTGATGAGAATCACAATTCCAGCATGAACAGGAAGGAACAACCCCGTGACATTAGTCTTGAACTCTTCATACTCAACGCGAACCTCATTCGTGCAATGCTTTTGCTCCACCAAAATGCAATTAAAATAATAATAATAATAATGAAAAAAAAATTCTATATTTCCTAAAATCCAAGCACCCAATGGTGAATAATAATCTTAAAGGATTTATACTCTAAAACAAGGACACTTTCTTATCTTTTTTTCTTTCTTTCTTTCTTCATCTATTTTTTGTGTGTGTGTGTGTTTGTGTGTGTGTGTGTGTGTGAGAGAGACAAGTCTAAAAGAAGGAAGTCAAGTATGAGATAATACTACTTTTAGAAACATGTTTACATTTATTCTAATGTGGTTGGATGTCACACAAGAATATAAACTTCACAAACTAAGAACGTTAGCATACCACATTTGTTTGTCGAAATTGAGACAGCAAACAAGGTATTTCTTGGTAAGCAGTAAAACTAACTTCAACCTTATTTAATGTATTGGTATTTTTGCGATAACTTTTTATCCTACTATCAGATTGAAGTGATTTTTGTGGCATTGGAAAGAAGATTCAAAGTTTTACAAGTTCATATTTCACGAAGATTTCATGAGCCTATTGATTTTTATTCCTAAAATGGACTATAAGTGGACTGAGTGCAAAAAAAACGAGGTTAGGCAGATTGGTCTTGTCTCTCACAAAAGGAGTTTATACAAGGGAAGTAGAAAGCTTAAAAACGAAATTATGGCATGACCAAATCAAGAAAGAAATTGTGATCACATGACATTAACGGGGTGAAATAAGCAATTGGAATGTCGGTGGTTTAAATTTCTAAACATGTTGCACTACCAAAAAAATCTAACAACTAATCATCAGAAAATATGCAATAAAAATGATAATCCCTACAATATAATCACCTATGAAAAAATGATCATCAGAAAAATATACCAAACAAGAAAAAAGCATCACCACTTAACAGAATCTTTCAAAGCAAGGGAAATATTTCACTGAGCAGAATAAATAAGTAATATAGACCAGGGAACTGCATACATACCTCCACCACCACTCTTGGTCTTCAACAGTAAGTTGAAAATATGTCAAAGCCACAGTGATGAAAGCAGTAACAATTAGGAGAATGATAAGGACTATAAACAAGATGTTGTATATAGTGTAAATCCTGTGACCCCAAACATTCACAAATATGTAGTAGACACTGAAAGGTAAAAACACAGCCATTGCCATCTAAGGAAGTGCTCCACGATACCAAGGCAATGGTGGGATCTCTCTAGGATATTTTGTGGTGCAAACAGGAGCTTGAAACTCAGCTTTGCTATTCTTTCCTGCGATACCACCCAATACTAGCAAAGGTGATGTGACAAGAGTCCATATGAAAACTATCACCACAATGGTACCAAATGGAAGTGCTACTGTGGCACTATTAACAATTGCAACAGTGTTGATGAGGCAGAATGTGAAAAGCAGAGGTCAACAAAACAGGATTCTAGTCAATAACAAATTTTTGCGAAGTCAGGGATTGAAAATTAGATCAGCATTTGATATGCAAAAAGTAGAACAAGGGAAAATCAAAAAATAGCAGAAATCCCAATTGTCTACATCTCTCTGATCATCATGATGTACTGCCATCATGCACCCACATAGATTGGGCGAAGAATATATTATTGTTGTCCCATTTCAAAACAACTTCCAAAAGAAAAAAAGAGAATTGAATTTTGATCATTTCCAACAATTTGAGTTTATTATTAGCAAAACAGAATACGCGTGTGATGAATTTCATATTATTCACTCCAACATGAAGTAGCCAAACCTCATTTTTAAAAATCAGTAGGAATGGCTACTCTACTTTCATCGTCCCAAGTAATGTTTAAAAGAAATCTACAAAAAAATAAATAAATAAATAAATAAATAAATTACATCTTTCTTAACTAGACAAAATATCAAAGAACAATTATCTATGTTATGCAGACTATAATGCAAAAGTAGATTTCCTTACTAACCATTTTTTTTATAAGCTTTGCCATGGTACCAACTGAAGTTGTACAAAAGTGTTTTATAATAAAATTTTCATTAAATTTTCATTGTTCAAGATATCAAACTCTCTCCCTCTATTTCTCTCTTAGATACACCAATACAAAAATCCAAACTCTTTGCAGGTGTGTGTGAAAGAGAAAAAGATCAACCACTTGATTGGTCAAAAAACACAATGTAAGCACATACTTTATAAGAATACAATATTTTCAAATGGCAGAACAGAAGGGAGCACTTTTATTTCATGAAAGCCCTAGTTCTCTAATTCTTCAATTCCAAACAAAACAGGTTCTATATATTCAAATGATAGAGAACAATTTTTTTTTCCTATTCTCTATATTCAAATAGAATCCTTAAGAACCAACAAACTTTAAAGCCAATTTATTATAAAGGTACTGAAACAAGAAAAAACTACAAGAAATGAGGCTATACAAAGTCTCCAAAACTTGGAGACAGGAACTCACGAGTCTTCGCAATAAATCTACACAAAATCATAATAAAAAGTAGAAGTAGAATCCAAGGCCACATACCCAATTTATTCCTTCCAGCTGGCAATAGAAAGAGACTGCAGTATAGCCTGCAATCCCAAACGTAAGAGCCTTTCAAACCTTCAAGCACACAGCACCGACAAAGTTGAAATCGATAAACTGATCGGAGATGCAACCAAACGTAGTTTTTAGATCGTTACAGTGAGAAGCTTCGAGGAGGCACTGCGAAACCTCCGATTCTCACAAGAAATTCAGATCATTTCAGATCGTTGCAATCGATCGGTTGAGAGAGATTAGGACCAAAAATTTAGATAATTTTAGATCCTTAAAATCGATCGGTTGAGAGAGATTAGGGTTTAGAGAGAGAGAGAGAGAGTGAGTGAGTGAGTCAATCGATTTCCCTCAGATTCAAAATAAGGATGCTTCACAATAAGAATGTGGTAATATTACAAAAATAAAATTTGTTAGGTATATTAAAATATTAATTTAATTTTTTTAATCACATTTTCATTAAAAGTTTCATGTTTTAATTTCTTTAAGTGTGATTTTCAAGCATTTCTGTACTAGTGGATAAAGGAAAAAGTGAAACACAAAAAAGTGGGGGAAATTAGTAGGGTTCTTTTTTCATTGCGGCAAAATCTCAAAAATTTTCCTTCAAAATTGGTGATAAAATAATTTTGTCACTAAAATTTTTAAAATATTAAAATTATTGACGATAAAAATATATTTCTCATCAAATAGTTTCAAAATATTTAAAATTAATTTTTTCAAAAAAAATATTTAAAATTATTAGTGACGAAAATATATTCCTCACTAATAATTTTATAATTGGTGACAAAAAAAATTTTCTCACTAAAAGTCTCAAAATTTTAGCGTCACCCAAAAAAATTAGAAGGAAAACCTTTGGTGACGAAATTTAATTTTTTTTCTTACCTAAAAAGAAGTATTTATTGACGAAAATAAATTTCGTCACCTATTATTTTTACTTTTTTTATTATATGTGACAAAATTTTATAATTCGTTACGGATTATTCTTATTTAGTAACGAAATTTATTTTCTTCATTACTTTTCGTCACCATAGGTTACTTAGAAAGCTAATTAACTTGTGTTTTGTTTTGAGAGAGAGAGTGTGAGAGATAGGGGAGAGGAAAACTGAGAAAAAAAAAGGAAGGGAAGTTAGTAGTCTATTTTTTTTCATTACCATCTAATATGTCAAAATTTTCGTAGTATATTTTTTTTCATTACTGCCCAATATTTCAAAACTTTCCCTCCAAAATTAGTGACAAAATAATTTCCTCACTAAAAAGTCTCAAAATATTAAAAATTATTAGTGACAAAAATATATTTCTCACCAAATGGTCTTAAAATATTTAAAATCAAGTTTCTCAAAAAAAATATATGCAAAATTATTGGTGACGAAAATATATTCCTCACTAATAATTTTATAATTGGTGACAAATTTTTTTCTCACCAAAAGTCTCAAAATTTTGGCGCCACCAAAAAAAAAAAATAGTGAAAAACCTTCTGTGACAAAACTTAATTTTTCCTCACCTAAAAAGAAAAATTTGTTGACAAAAATAAATTTCGTCACCTATTATTTTTATTTTTTTATTATATGTGACAAAATTTTATAATTCGTCACAAATTATTCTTATTTAGTGACAATTTATTTTTTTCACTACTTTTCGTCAACATAGATTACTTTTGTTGTAGTGTGCAAATGAGTAATGTTTATATCTTGTGAACCAACAACTGCCCCTTTAATCAAACCGATTTGCCTAGCTCTAGTCAGCAAGATGTTTAAACCCTTAGCCACAATATTAAATAGAAAAGATGATAATGGATCACCTTGTCTAAGCCCTCTCTGTGGACTAAATTTAGATGTCGGTCATCCATTAACCAAAATGGATATTTTGGTTGATGAGACACATTCTTTCATCCAATTAATCCATTTGGAACCAGACCCAAAATTTGAAAGCATAGAGAAGATAAACTCCCAATTAATTGAATCATATGCTTTCTCAAAATCAAGCTTTAACACAATACCTTTCTTTTGATTCTTGTTCCAACTATCAATAATTTCATTAGCAATCAACACTCCATGCAAAATACTTCTCCC